GACGCCCCAGGTAATGTGACTGCCAGCTCGTGTACTCACCCGCGCGTGCGCACGGCACACGTTTTCACGTGTCTGCCGGGGCTCGGGGATTTAGCGAACGTTTGCTTTGACCGGCGAAAGTAGGTTTTGGCAGAAAATGGCACAGGTTTTACTGGAAAAACATACTCGGGTTTCGTAAACAAACCCTCCTTTTATGAGGAAAATTAATTTGGCTTTCCCGAAACGTCACTTCTGATTCTGATGTCAGGTTTGGGACTCAGATTTAAGGGACGTGGATTCTGATACTTGATTTCAGGACAGCCGTTTGCACGCTGTTTAGTACGTGCTTTAAAGAGCGAAGCCATCGGAACGATTCAAAGCCATGTCGCTGTAAACCGACTTTAGCTCACTTTGCCCAGCTCACCTTGTCAGGAAGGTCAGCATCCTGCTCGGATTCCACCGGAATAACTGGAATAATCAGTCGAACCTTCTCTTCATTTCTCTGACCCTGCTTTTAGTCGCCCCGCGTGTTTTGACGTGTTTGCTGTCAGTGGCTTCATGCTTTTCTCTCTCGGGACAGTCCGTGCCCTGAAGCCCGGTTCCAGCCTCTGTCCCAACGAACCGGACACCACTGTCTGCCTCCGTCTCTGCGTCTGTGCGCATTTTCCGCACAGCGCTCGCGTTTGAACCGCGGATGGCGCGCGTGTTCCCCCAGGTACGCAGCAGCCACCCACACGCTGAGTGACGTCTGTGCCGCCATGGCCAGCGGTGACTGGAAGGACGCTCGCGAGCTCTGCCAGCGTGCCCGCGGGGCCTGGAGCGCACTGCGAGGCCACCCGGCTCTGAGGTGAGGTGTCTCTAGGCCCCGACTCAGTTTTTCTTGCCGACCAGGCCGGCGCCGCCGCTTCCGGCAGGACTCCTCGTGGGGACCACACGGCCCCCGCAGTTCCGCGGCCGGACCCGCCGTGGAGCGCAGCGTCACGCTTGCTTTGCGGGGTCGGGGTGCCGCGGAGTGGGAGGAAGCGTCTAGAAGTTTGGCGGGAGCGGATGGGGTTGACGTAGCTCGGGTCCTGTGCCACGCACCTCCAGGCACACACGCCCGGGCGTTGGGCGGGCCCTCCGGGGGTGCTGGCTCCCCTGAGGGTGGACAGCGGACTGTCAGCGTGGGGACAGTGGGGACAGACGTGGCTGGCGTGTGACACGTGGTCTCGGTGGAAATTCACGTAGGGGATGTTCTGCACTCACCATTTACCCCAAAAGTTCAAGGACGCGGCACGTGAGCCTTCAGGTTTTGTGTTTGATAAACGTTAAACATGTTCCGCATCAGGAAAGTTTTTCTTCGTCGTTACACGGGGATGAGAACAATTAGCAGCATTAACTATCTCTAAAAAACTGTTAGGACATGAAGTTCATGGGGAAACGACGTGGGCTTAAAACCGTAGCCCGGAGGCGCCGTCCCTGTCCCCCCCGTGCTGCGTGGGGGTGTCCCAAGCTCGGGGGGATTCGCGAGGCCCTCCCTGGGGACGAAATAAGCAGCGACGTGCACTGGGGCAGCTTCTTAGGGGGGTTCAGGTAAATGTGGACGCTTTTCTCAGACCGAACAGCAAAATGGTGGTGAAAACGTGTCAGTCGCTGACTCGTCACGAAACAGTCACAGCCAGAAGTCAGTGGCCGCGCGGCAGCGGTTGGCAGGCCGCTTCTGCCCGAGGCCGGCGGTCCCTGTCCTGGGCTTCGCGAGCCGG